CAATTTAAAAATAATTTTTATAAATGGACTGTTTTTCTATATTGTACCATAAGAACTCTTTGGTAAAGATATTTTGAATTTACTACAATATTCTTGAACGCAATAGACGCTTTTTTCAAAAATCTAACGTCAAGTTAGACATAGAAATTGGTTAGGATAATCCTCATTTAGTCATAATTTTGAGCATTATAAAAAATAAAATTCACTGTATCTTCTGTCTTTGTCTTGTATTTAGTATGTATTTATTTATCCTTTTATCCTTACCCCTTAATCGTGCGTAAACAAAATATTATTTTCTTAAATTTGTTAATAAAAAAGGAGTAAAACAATTAAGCTTTTACATATAAAATGTAAATTGTTATATACACTTTAGTACAAAGAATTGAAAAATATATATTTTACATTAATCTTTATTCGCTGAGGTGATTATAACACATCATATCTGTTATCTGTATAATTGTGTTTTGATTTGCTTCAGTAAAAACGTTTTAAAAACTGTTGCGCATATGCAACATTAGTATTACACGTTTAAATTACATGCAAAGATTGGTAAGAAATAAAAATTGCAATGCAGTTGCAGCTGCAGTTGATGCAATTATTTGGTAAACAAATTACTAGAATACCGGTTATAGGAATATCCCGGTTTAACAAATATAAATTTGAGGTCTTAAAAGTAATCTACAGCAATCGCTCCAATAGTTTGATTGTGCAAAATAGAAAATGACAACAATTAAAACACACAAGTCGGCTAACCTACAAAATTTTTCAGTACATAAAAACGTAAAAGAATGCAAGAGTGGTTAGCCCACCATCCTCTTTGTTGGATATACCTACAGAAATTAAGACACGTAAACCTTTTTTTATGAAAGCCTTTTAGATTTTTAATGGTAGAGTAGATTAACTTTTCCAAAAAAATTACAAACTGGAGTTGCACCCCAGAATAAAAGAGGGCCAAGTAATTTAGCAAATAATACAGATGATGACAAAACTACTCATTAGCAAATTTCTTCCATACAAATCACATTATACGAGGAATAAAAGTAAACATAGAAGTTATTTTGCACCAGATTTGAGTTCAGGAATTCTTTATAACCTTTACATGGCAGAATATTTTTACTCACTAGATATCAAAAAGAGGACAACTAAGTACTAGAAAAATACTTCAGCTAGATCATCTTTATCCTGGTGGGCGTCCAATAACCGAAGCAAAAAAAGATCCTATGGAAAGCCCTTTCATTAATACCTCCAATACATTATGGATTTTGGCAACAGAATAATAAGATCAGCTGAACGCAAAAAAATAATTTATGAAGAAGATTAGGTACCTGTGTTACTTTGTGTTTTTTTCAATCCTATATTCAACATTAATATTTTTTAATTGTATTTTACTCTAGGTCTTATCCACATTCCCAATGTATAGAAAGGCAATAATTTATATTGTTTTTACTTTTAGGTTTTACGCAAATGTAAAAATAAATGCAAGCATTTGAAATATGAACAGAAACTAAAAATATTTGATGACTTTTACAAAATAGAAGATCCTAATGTACAAAATACTTATCGTATGGCATTTATAAATACCCTACACATAAACCGTCGGTTTATGTGTAGATATAACAGTATAATAGCCGGATCCAGTCATAAATAAACATCTATTTAATTTAGTGTTCCAAATAGTTCAGGGAATATTTTAAAGTGTGCAGTACGACCTTTCAAGACGTGGTTGCAGTAACTTAAAGCCGAATTAAAACTCTTATAAATATTTAAAATCAGGAGAAACTTCTTACATGGAAAACGGGGTAATGAGGTAGGAAACACAAAGTACTTTACTGCATACAAACAACGGATTATGGATCACGTAAATTCGTTCCCCAGATAGGAAAGTGACTACTCGAGGGCTAAGAGTAAACAGGAGTACTTGGTACTGATTTAAATAAAAGTAGGCTACTCCTTTCTTTTAATAAAAAAACATCCTAAAACCAAACTAGGAAGAAAATATTTTTTCAAATTCCCAAAACTATCATTTCGCCAACCATGCCAGTATAATGCAAAACAGAATAATAAAAGACTACGCTTAGAATTGCACCATTGTAAGGCAGACAAAGTTAGGCAAGCTATGAACAATGATCACAAGAACTCTCAAATGCCCAGAAGCGACAGTTACACTTTTAGTATGGATCGTCAACAAGTGTTTGCTTTGCCCGCTCCTACTTACAGAATGTGAATGTTATGTTAACAATTTTGGTATTAGTATAGAAGACAATAATGAACATTAAGGACAAACAGGTGGGGACGACAAAAAATTGCTCTAGTTTATTTTTAAAGTTATAAATTGTAATGTTGTACCAAAACGGAAACTTACATTTTGGAGCAATAACTGCGCTGCACAAAATAAGAACAAGATTCTTTTGCACTTATGATTTTGTATATTGTTCTGAAGCTATTTTCTTGTGGCATTGTAAATTAATTACTATTAAACTGGGAATAAGCCACAATTAAAGATAAAAATACGTTTATTGCCGTTTCAATTTCCACTTCGGAAAATAATTCTTTTTTTCAGGATTTCCGAAGTGGAAATTGAAACGTCAATAAACGTATTTTTATCTTTAATTGTGGCTTATTCCCAGTTTTATAGTAATTAATGATTTTGTATAATTGTTTAAGAGCTTATTGATGATGTTGAGCAAAATTACTTTATTTAATGTCACTATTTTTTGAGTTGTGACATAGACTTCTCAAAGATAGAAAAAAACCGAATTATTGTATCAGCACTGATACAATATTATTTGGCATCCATAATGAAAAATCACGATTTTTTTTTTAAATGAGCTACTGAGAACACGATTACTACCAACAATGTAAAATGTCTAAAGTGCAATGAATTAAAATTGAAAAATCTAAACCAGGAGAGGTTATGACCAAAACAACTCTGAATGACATAGAGAAAAAAAAAAGAAAAGTACAGTGTTCAAGAAAAATATTACAATAGAAAATTTGCCATCAAATTAGACTATTCTCGAATATAAAAGCAGATTGACTGCGGACAGAAAAATAGATTTAAGGGTGTTTTAAACTAATTAAACTGGCTAATTGGCTACGCCAAAGCCATTATATAGCAAAAAAGAACTAATTAAATGATGAAAATAAAAAACTTTGTATGATAGTTTATTGTAATCCCTCCATTAAATGCAATGTTCTAACATAATTTAACTGTTTAAACATAGTATGAATATTTCTATTAATAAAATCTTTACATGTACACATGACCCGTTTTATAACAATATTCTTCTGTACATGACCCATTATATTAGGAAACATTATTAGACATAGGCACCTTGTTTTACTTTTTGAAACGGATTTTTTTGTCCTGGTAAACTATAAAAAATTGTTGACTTATTTAAACTACACTAAATTATGTAATAAACAACTTTTTTAAATTCTGTTGATATTTTTACTAAAATTCCCGAAAAAACTTATTTTTCCAAATTGTCTGTTTTTGTCACTTAGCCTTTTATCTATCTGCTTTTATCATATGTCACTGGTAGTGGATAATCTTAAGGATAAGAAAAATATTAATATTGAGGTATGGGAGAATAAAATGAATGTACCAGATGTATCTGGTACTTATGAAGTAACACCATCATTGTCAAGAAAAGCTAAAATACCCGTAAAATTAAAGAACGGTATTCTGAAGTAGATAAAATAGTACTTCATTTAAGATATTTCACCAGAAGATGTAGAATATATGAGAATAGAGTAAACAGTAATTAAAACGGCAGGAAAATCAGCTAAAGATTTTTTTTGTATTTCAGCGAAATGGGAAAAATTGTTATCTACTTAAAAATACGCAAATGATTAGAACCGACATTCAATTAAAGTCAAGAAAGCCAGAGCATACAATACTTTATGTGGAATAATGATTTTTTGTAGATACCATACTTTGACAGCTACTAAAAAGTATTGGTCGAAAGGTAAGGAGAAACGTATACCGCTTGTCCGAGAGTTCATGTATAGAAATAGATTCCATCAAGCAAAATATACATAATATAACTATCGGATAATGATAAACTTAAACCTACCGATTTTGATATATATGAAAAAAATATTCAGTTTGGAGAATTTTATCAAAATGTGTTGATCAATAAAAAATGGTGCCATATTTGGTCGACATAGTTGTAAGGTGTTAATGAGAGGCAAACTAATAAGCTTTGGCTTTAAGGTATATGTTGTTTTCGTAGCTTAAATAAATATTTATTAAAATTAATTACATGTAGTGAGAAATCCAGTCATATTGAAGCAGGTAACTTAAGACTAGAAAAAACAGTATTTCTAATGTTTTTTCTTTGCACAAATTTTTCTTTATACTGAAGTATAAGGGGTTTTACGGTACAGGGATGATTCGTAAAAACCGATGACCCCACTGCTCATTACAAGCTACAAAAATTAATAAAAAAGAAAGGGAGGGATTACTCTGATTTTGTTTTGGATCCGGAGCATCAGGTACTTTTAGTATGATGGACTGAAAACCCTGTTTTTACTTTTGTGGCAAATACCTGCACCATTAAACAGTTTGTAGCTGCTTAAAGTTACGACAGGAAAAAAAAAGGTTTTTATTAAATAAATGGAAAAAATTAAAGGAGGTTACTTTTCAAAAATTTGGTTGATAGATAGCGTGGTTGTAAATTCCACAAAACCCTCATAAAACCAGAGACAAATGGTTAAAAAACGCAACAAGAACCTTACCTAGTAAATTGTGAGATGCATAATAGCATTGTCAGACAAACAGTGGATTGGCGCAGGAAAGAAAAAAGTAATTGGCAGAAACATTCAAGAGTGGCCGGAAAATGGTTGACGAACAAGAAGAGATATAAAACATAATAAATTGCCACATAAATAAAATAATTAATACAGAACTATTAAGTTTATAATGATAATCAAACCATCAAATTACTCTTTTGAAAAATAATATCAACGAAGACAAAAATACTGTAGTAGATTCGGCAAAACATTAAAACGCAATCCAAATAAACAACGAATGAGCATTGTATTTACATATATTTTATAGATAATTACGTACCCTGATAACAAAAGTTAATTGGATATTAAAATTTGGTAGGGAAAAAGTAATTTTGTCACTAACCATGGAAGATTATTGGGTAAGGTTTAAAAGTATTACTACTAATATTATTAGACCAACTACAAATTAATAAACACCCAGTTTACAAAGTTCATATTGTTTTTAATTATATTAAATCAAAAATTCGAACATTTGTTCTATGTTCGATAACGGCACAAAAGATTATGAAATAAAATATTTTGTTAACTTTAAAAGTATATACAAGGTAACTTTTTACGTAACAGCCATATTCAAATATAAATAGTTCAAATGTCCAATAAAAATTGTTGTAATTTACCTTCACGTACTTGCTTGAAGAAAGTAGAATATTTGAATTCTTCCTAAAAAAAAATATTAAGAATATAAATAAAACAAATATGCATATTTATATTATATTTTGTTATGTTCTTCTGCACCGAGTTTAAAACTTTTATAGAAAATATCCAAAAAATCTAAGAAAAATATTACTTTATTTTTATTATAAAGACCTTATTATTTTTTTATAAGGTAGATAAGAGTAAAATAATATTGTAATATTAAAATTAAGCTTATGTATAATATAAAAGTTTAATGTGTTCATAAATAGGTAGATACATTACATATATAACACTACTTTAGTATCAAATTAAAAAAGCATTAAAAGAAGTAAAATATGACAAGGCAACAAAAACAGGAGACATTCCTATAAAGTATTATCACCACTACGATCATTATTCGTAAATACAGGGTCACTAGGTATATAAATGTTACAGGATTTGCACTTCGAATGTGCCGCTGGCAAATAGTCAAAACCTCGTTTGAAAAAAGACTTTATTTTATTTGATTTAACACAATACATGAATATATGACGGTTGGCTTTCATACCGCTAATTTGTATTATGTTCGGTTCGCTCTTCGCCGGATCACTGGTCTCGTTCTCGAATCTTGTTTATACGGATTAACTTTCACCTTGCTGCTCTTTTCGTAACTCATCTTCAATCTTCGCAAATGACACATATCTGCTTAGACTGCTATGTTGTCGCATCCGTAAAAATGCACGACAATGACTTAAATCATATGATGGCGTGAATACTATAGGAAGAAATAAATCATAGATGCGATCTAGCAAAAGTCGCCGTAGAAAAGAAGGCCAAAATATGCAAGGACTCTCAAATTTCACGAACTCCAAAAATGAGGTTGGCCAACTGCTTAATATTATCAACGCAAGCAAAAAAAAAGAATTCCTCAAGAATGGAGATCAAGCCTCCTAATACCTATCTAGAGACAAATCAGCCTAGTAAAATTACAGAGAAATTCATTTATTAATCATAATACTAAAATTTACAACCAGTGATAAGAAATAAACTGAATGAAATTATAACAGTAGCAGAAGCACAACAAAGTTTAAGGTCGAGAGGATCATGCAAGATGATATATTTGTAATGAGTTAACTCGCAAGAGAAATCATTAGAATACAACAAATCGGCATATCTATGTCTCGTAGACCGGCATTTAACCGGGTCAAACTAAAGAACGTTATACGCTTATTGTATATAAGCCTCGTATATAAGACAGAGAGGAAGGAGAGAGTTGATCATTTGGAATAATCAGATAGTCTAAGGCAATGGTCGGCCAAGTGCGTCTCCAAAACCACATGTTACTCATTGGCACCTGAAGTGCGACTGGGGACAAATATCCACGGATGACGCAATATTATTTTTATTAAAAAAAAACTTGAGGAGAAAAAAATATACCTTATTTAGATAAATAAAACTTTTTCTGTAAATCGAGAAAATGTATAGTATAATTTTTAAAGTAATAAGTTAAAAAATAAATAGGTAATTAAAATTTTATATTGTTGTTAACTACTTTACGATTTCGTAAACGTAAACAAAAACTATGTACAAGATAACGGCTAAAAATGTTATTAAATATAGATATATTTTCGACATAATTCGGTGAGATGCAAAGGTACCACAGACACGCGCCCGCATACTTTTTCTAAAGTAGTGTGGCGTGATTAAATACAATATACACGTGTTGTGTGATGACCGTAATACACCTAAAAAAGCAAACAATACCACACGCACACTTTTTCAGGTTAGTTTAAAAAAACAAACCTTGCCTCCTATCAAGTCATATATATTTTTTTCTCAAATGTCAAGTGAATAACTCATCTATCAGGCAACTTTAGTTCATTTATTAGTAAAGTATAAAAGATCTGTCAGATCTTTTATACAGCCGCTTAGGCAAAGGCTCCTTAGGTTGGTCGAAAAAGACTTCAGTCGCGAAATCTGGGCATCGACGCCATGTCCGACAAGCAAGAACTCGATGGTCAGGTCTTTCGGATGCTCAGCCGGAGAGAAGATTAACATTTAATTTTGCCAAATTATCGGCTAAGTAACCAAATACACACATATTTCAAACAGAGAGACATCAACTTAGGTTAGGTTACGGTAACAGATACTTTTTTTCAGGGACCTTAGTCCTGTAGACAAGTTAGATCACCTTCTAAGAGAATCAGTAAAGTAAATAGAGAGAAAAGCCGGTATGTATGTTACCCCTACAATTAGGTGGCTTAATCACAGTCAAGAAAAACAGAGGGTGTTCTATTACTCAGAACAGTCAAAGTAACGCTTAGATCATAAACCTCCTCACGTAAATTACATGATGAGTAGGGGCGGATGAAAAACCTGGGGGTCAGATAGGTACCACTTCAATAACTAATTAAGATCGGTTTGATCTTCGGACATCTGGATGCCACTATAAAATGATATACAGATGTTCATTAGAGGCGGGATTGATCACTGTGTTTGTGTGTGTATAGTATAGCGGGGGTACAAATTGGCATCACAGACCAGCAGTTGCAAATTTGCATCTCGAGACAGCCAATGCGGATTCACGACTACAATCGTTTATATCCGATGCCAACCAAAAAAAAAATATATTTGAAATATTTTTGTAGGCACCCCAATTAATATGGCTACCAAAAATTAAGCAAAGAAAAACGAAAGATATAAACCGCGAATTGTAAGTTTATTGGACCGAGAAGTTTACATTTATTCAAAACATCAATATACTTTCGACATATCTTATTTGTAAGAATAAATTCGCGCAAACCAAGTGATTAAATTTAAAGAAACACTTTATAAGACATATATAATGAAGAACCAACAAGAGAAGAAGTGTCAAATGGCATATCAAAACTCAAAGACAATAAAGAACCAGGAATCGATAAAATCTGTTTCGGAGATGTGTAAAACAGGTGGTGATTAACTTTTTGCAGCAATAAATAAACTAATATTACTTATATGGCAACATAAATTGGTACCAGTAGAGTGATTAAAGGGAATAATATGTCAGTTGCATGAAAAGGATGATCAACTGGAGTATAAGAACGATTAAGGTATTACTCTCTTAGCATCTGCGTATAAAATCTTCGGCAATGCATTATTTAAAAGATTTTAAACATTTAACAAGAAGTATTATTGGTCAAGAATAATGCGGATTTACAACTATCTAGAAAGTCAACTACACATCAAATACAAGCACATAGGCAGATTCCAGAAAAGTCACTAAAATATAACATAGATACATACTATCTCTTCGTCGACATCAACCAACAACACTGTAAAAAGAACTGCATTATATAATGCAATGATAGACTTGGGGATGCCACCTCAGCTAAGTAAGTTGACCTACTCAACAATACAAAACGTAGCTTATGCGTTAGAATTGAAGGAGAAAACTCTACGTTCTTTGACATTAATGACGGTCTAAAACACGAGAATGCGTTAGCGTATCTACTCTCTACTATTGCCTTGAAAGAGATAATCAGACAATTAAATAATACAATAAATGGAACTGATTTTAGTAGAACGACGCAAATTCTTGCATTCGCTGACAATACAGTTATAGTGGGCAGAAATATGAGAGAGATGGTGCAGTGTTTGGTGAGGCTTACGGACACGGCAAGTGAATTAGGACTTGTGGTAAACGAGGAAAAAACAAAATATACGTATGGTCGTTTCTAAAAACCCCCAAAATATTAAACAGAGAATTCAAATTAACAACGATACCTTTGAGCAAGTCAAAGAATTCACATATCTTGAATCGCCAGTAAACCCAACAAACACGACAAATGACGAAATAAAAAGAAGCATAGCAATAGAAAACAGAACTGTTCACGGTTCCCAGAAACATTTAAAAAATAAAAATATAAATCGTTCAGTAAAGCTCAATACATCAAGACCATGACAAGACCGGTTTGGTATATAGGGCTAGAACGTGGACATTATCTCAAAATGATGAAAGACTTTTTAGTATTTTTGAGAGAAAAATTCTTAGAAAGCTTTTTGGGACCGTAAATCAAAATGGTCTATGGCGTCGAAGATAGAACTTTGATTTATATTAGTTATACACCGATCCAGATATTTTAAAATTCGTTAAAGTGCAGATACTTAAATAGGCTAGACACATTGCTATGATATCAGATCACGAATACACCCAGAGATTAACATTTTCAAAATCAGAGGTCACAAGAAGTAGAGGACGACTACGAAGGAGATGGATTGATAATGTAGAAGAAGACTTACTGACTCTAAGGGTCAGAAGATGGAGAAAAATTTCCAGGAAACAGCAGGAGTAGCGACTTTTTTGTGAGCAGGCCAACAACAAATTGTCAAGCCACTTATGATGATGACTTTACAAGACAGTGTTATAAATAAAAAATGTTAATAAAGGAATAACAAAAAATGCTAGACATGAGCCTAATATAAAAAGATCTATTTTTATCTTACAAATCATATATTCCATAGATATATAAAAAAACGAGTTACCTTTTATTTCGATTTTTCAGGTGCAGGTTCAACATCGGTAGCTGAGTTATTATTTTCGACTACTATCTTCTCACTCTTAGTCTCGTCCTCATTTTTGTCAACATCTTTATGTACTAGGACAAGATCTGATTCATTTTCATTTAAAGTTTGAGCACTATCTGGCATTTCAAAACCCATGGTACTGGATAACTTAATGGAAGCTTGTTGGAAAGTGTCACTGAGTTTGACTTGAACGACATTAATGCACATTGACATTAAAGCTAATCCAAAAACTAGATAAACTATTGATACAATTAGAACAACTGGTTGAGATGGGATAAAATCGCCAAATCCTATTGTAGAAAGTGAAATAAATACAAAGTAAAACGAGGTGAAAAATTCCCATTTCTCCCAGGCACAATATACTAAGGATCCTATAAACATATACGCTGCAAGTATAAACAAAGCAACGGATATTGGTAAATTAAACTCATCATCTATTTCAAAAGTTGATAAATCTGGTGTCGTTGGTGTGTCCTCGGACATTGCCGATATCACAGTATCGTGCGATGACATAGGTTTTATACTGGTGATATCTGTTGAAAATGGTCCTGTACTTTCGGCGGAGGGGTCCTTTGAAGGTCTACGGAAAGTTGCTATGCCATACATCATTTGGGCTCCTTTAAATATTTCCTACAAAATGATGACATGTAAATATTTTCCCACGTGACTAAAAATTTTTAAGTAAATTATAAAAAACTGCCCTATTTGTGTTATTACAATTATCAAACACAGTTTTCGAACCAACAAATAAATACCTATTAAGTAAATATCAAAACTTTTGCGTAATGCGTAATGTATATACTTGTATTTCCGTGGATACATCTTCTAACAAGAAGAAATAGCAGGCCAAACCCAGAATTTTAACAAACAATAAAAAAATAAAACCTATACAGTATACTTACAATATGTTGTTTTTTAATTTGTTTTTTAATAAAATCTAAGACATTTTACCAACTGTTTCACAATAAAAACGGTAACTAAAATTCATCTTTACAATGTCAGTGAGATGGAAGACCTAGCGACCAAAGCATCAGAAGACGTATTGGCTTGTTTGGATGCTATAAAGATCTGAATAGAGAAGAAAATCAATATCATCATCATTATTATTAACCTGTTTGACTTTACTGCTGGACATAGGTCTCCCTTAGCTTAATCTTTCTGTCTTTGTCATGTGCCGCTTGCATCCAGTTATTTCTTACATGGTTCAGGTCATCAGTCCATCTAGTAGGTGGGCTTCCTCTGCTCCGTATTGCTATTTGTCTTGGTCTTCACTCGACAATACGTTTTCTTCACCGATTGTGTGATAGTCTGGTGACGTGTGCTGCCCAATTTCATTGTAGCGGCGCGATTTTTTGAAAAGCATCTGTTGGTTTTGTTCTACGACGTATTTCTTCGTTCGGAATTTGGTCTCTCACAGAGACACTAAACACCTAGCGCTCCATTGCTACCTAAGTCACGCAAATATATTTTTTTTATTAGAAAAAGATGTCGCATCCACCAAAAGGTTATTAGCGACGGAACAAAATATAAATAACAAAGTTAGACACCTACAGATTATACAAAATGTTTATGGATCTGAGATAATTCACTATATTTTCATAGGAACAGTTTTGACCTAGAGCCTGTGGTAGAGCGTTTGGGATCTTGTAACGCTGTCTCTCTTGGTCGTATTTACTACAAATTATTAAAAAGTGCTCGACTGTTAATCGGACGTATGTCCTAGACGTAAACGCGCAACCGCAATTTGTTCTCGTCTATTGTGCGACGATGGAAACGCAAATATTATTCACTACCTTTTTTATGAATTAGGGCAGATAACACACATTGGTCAACAATTTTTAATTTACCAAACGCTGCCCAGACTAATCCTATGCGACGTGGGAGCTCATATGTTTGGTTATCTCTGCCTAATGTAATTTCATATTCTAAGTACTTTTACAATGCAGTGGACAATGGAGTACTCTGGATAATATCCTTTCCATTAAGAGCAGCATTGCAATTTCGCACCAGATTGATCATTCTTTGCATCGTCTTTATATTAATCTTTAGTCCAACCTCCAAGAAAGCGTGATATAAGTTTTTCAACATTAATATTGGATCCACCATAGGATCGGCTTCAAGGACGATGTTATCTGTAAATCTCAAATGACTGAGCTTCTCTCCATTTATATTTCTACTCTGCTTAAGATATGCCTTCTTACAAGTGTGTTCTAAAAGGGTCGTGAATAGCTTGGTAGGGACGGTGACTCCTTGCCGTACTTCTCGCTGTATACAGAATTTATTTGTTTCCAGTTCAGATAGTCTTACGCTAGCTCTGACATTTAGGTGAATATATTTAAATATGTAAGTGTAGCGATGGTCTCTTTGACATTCTGATAATGGTTTTAAAATTTTCTGATGGCTGAAGAGTTCTATATGTGTAAAAGCAAACTGATAGGACAGTAGTTGTTAAATCTTTTATGTTTCCTTACTTGTGTAATAAACTGCATTGTTTTATTAAGAATTAGTTTTTATTGTCTATTCGCTTAGCTAGGGCATATTTTGACAGACTCATTGTAGGAAACCTACAACACAACAATTCCTACTTCTCAGTATAAATAGCTCAAGTATACTACTATTGCAGACTTCTTTCTTTGAAAAAAAGAAGAATTATTCTAAATAGTGGAAGTGTATACTAAACCCATCAAATTTTCCGTGTATATTTAAAATATAATATTTGAATTGTTACAATTTAAAATATTGTAGTAAATATTTGTATTATTCGCGTTGTTTATTTAATTTAATATAGTTTTATTGTTTTATTATCTTTGTTTAATTCTTTTGTTAGTTATATTCAGTTAATTAGTTAGTTATATTTTAAATTTTATTATTATGGATAGTCAAAGTTTTCCATTTGTTCCATCAGCTAATGTGATTTTTAAAAGGTTTTTTTTAAAGCTAATATTTTTAGATTAGTAAGGATGCTGTTCCTAGATCACAAGGTAATAAAACTGCACAAAGGTTTATTCAAAATGCCTACCATTTTTTTTACCGAATGAAAACCCTGTTGAAGTAAGTTGACCATTAAAATGTATTTATCGAATTATGTAAATGTTGTAAATACATAAGGAACTTGCTGTGTCTTATTCTTATTTAACCTCACTTTGACTTCTTAATTTTGTAGAATTTATTCCCACTTTTTTATTTTGTACAATAAATAATTTTATTATTTGTTATCAATACATTATACGGTGTAAATAAATAAATATTGATTGTCGGCAAAGTTCTATTTTATTTACTTTTGTTTACATTAATATTGACTAAGAGCACGTATGCTTGGTTGTATAGTATTTTCCAGCCACTTCAAGTCTGTCAAAAAGTAACTAACTTCGAAAAAAAAAATTACTAAAATCACTAGACAGTTCGGACTGGGAATAGCGAACCGGGTATACTTGGTAGATGCATTCGGTGAAAAGCTTGACCAAAGCCTGGATAATTTTATTTCTATCTAGTTTGATAGCTATGATAACTACTCCGTCGGTATTTTGGCTTAGTTTTTCTTTATAGATCAGAACTATCGGGTAGCACACACTTTCTGTTTCTTTTAGAGCTCTTGTGATGCCGTCGTTTGCTTGATCTACATCTTTTATTTTATATTGCAAATCTTGTACATGTCTGGTGAGTTTTTCTTCATACAGATATTGTTTTTTTGGGGAATCTATTTATTTTTTCTTGTTTTTAGGATGATGTTTCTCTGTTATTTCCAATTTGACATTTATTAGTATTTTAGGTCGGATTAATTTGTGTTAATTAATTAATTAACAATCTATTTTATTTTTAAAAGTGCCATATGGGCTAAAATGAAATACGTGTCCTGATTTAAGAACAATTTTAGCTCCTTCTCTTTGTGTTAATTTTACACACAAATGTATTTGTAATTAATTTTTTTTGAAGTAAGATATATGAGTATTAATACATTTGTAATGACTTACCGAAGCAGTTGCACTTTTTCTAACTTTCCTACAGCTTCCCGTATAATAAAGTCGTCTAACAAATGACCATAAAAATTTAATAGCTCTAGTGAATAATTTACCAAAATCTGTAAGAGCTATAAGAAAGAGAGGAATTCCAACTATGGCATATACAATTGTTAAAGCTCGACCAGTGGTAGTAGAGGGGTAGAGGTGACCATATCCTAAAAAGAAGAAAAATATTTTAGTACATTTACAAAGTACATTGAAATACTGGCCGAATTGATTGCTGTATATAAATATATTAATTGCAAAAGACTGGTAAAAAGGATATGTAATATTAAAGAAAAATGCTTTTTATCTATCTTACTGTTACACTCAACAGAAGGGTTTATTTCGAATCATTTGAATCATGTTCTTTAGGGGCAGGCTTGATCTCATGTGTGTGTGTGTGTGTGTGTGTGTGTGTGTGTGTGTGTGTGTGTGTGTGTGTGTGTGTGTGTGTGTGTGTGTGTGTGTGTTTAATTCACCGTTACCAAGTGTTATAGAAAAGTCAATAAGAAACATTCTTAAGAAGAAAAGAATTCCTCCACTAGTTATTTAAGGACAGATTGGGCATTAAACATCATTTATAATGAATTGTAAATGAATGTTTTATCATCAAGTGGCGATGAAGCAACTTTCGATGTTACCAATGATTTTAAGGGCTGGTCTAAAAAATGAAGAATACCGATTGAATTTAAAATTCGTAATTATGCAGAATTCAAGGGTTCAAAAATGATACCATTTTGTGAATATCCAGTGAGTTTCTTTAATGTTTTTTTTCAATGACACCTTACTATAATACATTGTAGAACAGTCAAATTTATGCTGTGCAAGCTAACAAAAATTTAGATTTTGGTCCTTTGAAGATTTAATAGTTTACCTTGTATTAAAAAATATCGATTTGCGGATTAAAAGTTTTATAATGAAAGGATTACTCTAAAGAGATTTTTTAAAATTAAGATTAATCCATTTGAATGATAGCCAACAAATTCCAGCCAGATTAACACGGGAATTTGTACAAAGTGACTACTATTATTCAAAAATTAAAAGAGCTTTTTTGAAATATTTTTCTCCGAGCAGAAATATTGCAGTTGATGAAAGCATACTTGCCTTTAAAGGAAGAACTACTTTGAGCTTTGAGAAATGGGGGTATAAAAATCTGGGCAACGAAATATGCTGAAACAGGTTACCTCATCAATTTTAAGGTATATCAAGGAAAAGAATATAAACGGACTACCGAACAAACTCTAGGGAAGAGTTATACTGAATTAAATAACGTGTTAAAAAGAAAACAGAAAAAAGGGGACACTGCTTGTACTTTGACAATTTTTAACCACACTTTTAGTTTATGAATATTTACAACTTTCTATTAAGGATAAATATGTATATCTTGAAATTAATTATTCTACACATTTTTCTGCTTGCGGTATAAAGTGCCGTCGTGCTCCCACTCTTGTGATTTTTAAAAGCGCACCCTCCCGAGCCCGAGGGTTAAAGAACCTCTAAAACATTCTAATTTTCAGATTGCTTCAGCGGATTGCTTTAGCGGGTACTAAAGGTTAAGCAGTAGTTGTACCAAATGATATTTCTGGGGAAGTATGAACAGTCGATGGTATTACAGATAATTTAGATATCCTGCCTTATTTTTAAATTAATAATGACTGCTTCAAGATATAGGTAATAGGATAGGCTAGGAATAATCAAAACGATCGAAATATCTACCAAAACAACACAATAAAAGTAAAAGTAGAAGAAGAACTAATTGACCCTATTGAAGCTGGAAATGGAATAGGACAGGGAGATTCTCTAAATCGTCTATTGTTCAACCTGATTATGGACGAAATAATTAAGAAAGTAAGAACATAAAAAGGATACCAAATGGGAAAAAAATAACTTAAAATAATTTGCTATGCAGACAACGCAATACTACTCGCTCAAACTGAAGATGATTTACAACGTATGCTGCATCAATTTAATATAACTGCCAGAAAATTTAACATTTTAATGTCCCCAACAAAAACAAAATACATGGTTACAACAGCAAATTTACTAATATGTAAATTGGAGCTGGAAGGTCGGATCATGAAACAAATGATGGAGTTTAAATATCTAGGCATCACATTATTTAGCTAGAGAAAGCTCGAAACAGAAGTGAAAGATCAAGTGAATAGAGCAAACAGAGCCGCAGTCTGCCTAAATGAAACAATATGGAGAAATATAAACATCGGGAAAGAAACAAATGGCAGAATTTACAAAACAGTCGTCGGACCAATAATGACATACGTGATAGAGACAAGACCTAACAGACAGAACAAGAAGGATATTAGAAACAGCAAAGACGAAAACACTTAGAAAAATTGATAGTAAGACACTATAGGTTAGAGCTAGAAATACAGATATACGACATAGATGCAAGGTGGAGAACATCAAAAACTGGGTAAGAAATAGAAAAGTAGAATGGAACGATCATATAAGCCAAATAACAACAAATAGAGTAGTAAAAACGGAAGACGGTTCCCCAATAGGAAGACGATCAGTAGGAACACCACGAAAACGATAGAATGACAACTTACTGGAGGCACATTGAAAAACAAACAAAATCATGTCTATATAAAAAGAAAAAGAAGAAGAAGAAGTAAAAGAAGAAAAGAAGAAGATAAAGGTATGCAGATAGTGAATATATATTGATTTAAAAGTTTATTACTGCTGTGCTTATTACCAAAAGGTTTTTAGTGTAAAATTAAAAATTCTTTATGGCTATCCATATAGGCGAAGAATAAGCTTAATGTTTTACTCAATATTTTATTCGTCTTTAAATTATATTTATTTCATTATGGTTATATAAATATATCTCTTAAATTGTCTGGCTGATTAAATTTATATGAAAATAAAAACCAATTTTAGAAAAGGTCAGCAGCCAATCTCATTTATGAAACAATTAGTTAATTAACAACTGTGCTTTAGTCACGGGATGTGTCGAATTGATTTCTGAAAAGGACGCCCCAGTGTGACGTGTGAATAATTAAATGAAGAAACTAAAAAAAGATCTATTCCAAACTCCAATATTAATAAGGTATGAAAACCACTTATGAAATAAAAATATTCCTGTCCTTGTTTTTAAACATTATAAAAACGCTGAGACCTGTCGACTTTAATATATAGATGTGCGTTTTTTAAATATGAATTTAAATTTACAGGGTGATTTACGCAAGACGAGAATAGTCATCATCTTTATTCTTATTTGAATACCCTGTATATTTGTATATTTTTAAAAGCTGAATAACAACCCGATCTCAACTATCTATACGATATAGGGTCTAATATTAGTAATACAGGATGCAATTAAGTAATTAAAAATTGTGGAAACCACTTATGGAATTGAATTATTTAAGACGTATAACTTCACCTTGTATTATTCATAATAGACTCCACATAATACAGTTTTTTTTTGTTTAGATCTAGTTGTAAAGGAAATTTTTAAAACATAAAAATATAGAGGGTGATGTAACAAAAATATGCTAGACTTGAGTGAATCACCCTGTACATTTAAATTTATGCTTAAAAGGGCAAATTTGAATTTAAAGTCGACGGGTCCGAACGTTTTTTCTAATTTTTTAAAACAAGCACAGACATTTTTGTATTCCATAAGCGATTTACACCCTACATAATGTAAAAATATTCGCACGTTTGATAATCAAACGTGCGAACTAAGCCGCCGCATAGGACTCACTTGGGTGACATTCGGCAAGCTGAGCTATGTTCTTAAATCAGAACTGCTTATGTGTCAAAGAAAAGTCTTTAATCAGTGCGTGTTGCCAGTACTTACATATGGTGCAGAGACATTAACACTAACTAAGAAAGTAAGAAATAAAATTTGTGTTACCCAAAGAGCCATGGAACGATCGATGTTAGGCATTTCTCATAGGGACCGGATCACGAACAAGGAAATAAGACGGAGAACAGAAGTGACAGATGCCATAGAAAGAATTATGACCCTTAAGTGGAACTGGGTGGGGCACATAGCTAGAATGTCGGATAACAGATGGACACAGCGAATAATACAGTGGAGACCGAGACAAGAAGCACATCGTAGTAGAGGTCGTCTACCAACAAGATGGTCTGATGACATAAAACGGATCGACAACAATTGGATGCAAACAGCACAAAACAGAAATACACGGAAAAGACTGAGGGACACCTATATCCAGCAGTGGATAGATCCGGGTTAAATGATGATAATGATTGTAAAAATATACAACAAATATATAAATTCTTTAAAGACATTACTGAAGTTGCTAAAGATAAATAACCGATAAAGCAAAAATAACTACACTATTGGAAAACGCTATAACTTTTGCAAATGGTGCCAAATGTTAATTTGGTTTTGACATTAATTTGTGAGGCAAAGAAACATAAATTTTAAATCGAAAACCCATGAATGGGTTTACTTTGCAAGAACGCGGAATAATTGTTTCCATGTGTTTGGGCGGCAATGAGTCGGCTGTGTTGGCGTAGCATGAATTTCGTCGCAGATATCATAGCCAACTGACACTAACTATACAAACACTGTGGCGTTTAAGCACTTGCCTTAAAGGTACTGGGACAACACAAGACGCTCCCAAAGCTGGCCGGCTCTGGAGCAGCTGTTCTGCTCAGAATACCGCTGCTGTTACACAAAATGTCAAAGAGGAGCCCGAACCGTCCTCAAGACGACGTGCCACGCCATTGAGTATTAGACAGCGATCCCTATGCAGAATTTTGTTAAAAGTGCAAACAGTGCATCAGATGTTAGCTGTTGACCTCCAAACGCGTCTTCCATATGGTCGAGTCATCCTAAATCTCACCGAAGAGGAGGACGGTGGGGAATTTTTCAAAACCATCTTAGCGGTTACGTAAGTAGACAAAACTATCATATTTGGGGCACTAAAAATCCATGTATTACTCACAAAGAACCATTACTCTCGCTGAAAGTTACTGCGTGCTGTGCTGTTTACGCTGGAAAAGTCGTCAGATATTTGTTGCTTTGGGAGCTCTACAGGTCAAACGACGACTGTGGACGAAACTATATAGTCATGGTAGCTGAAACTTTTCATCGCGAATAGGATAAATTGGGAATGAAAATATGTGATGTTAATAGTACGGTACAACGGCATGCACTGTTTAAGCCACAATCGATATT